AATTGGATGTTTCCCACAAAAATCGGATGTTTCTTCTCCCCCTCCCCTGCTGTCCAGGGCAGGATGGGAGTGAATTTTGGGGAGGGGGGCGATGGCCGCCCACCTTCCCCTGCTGGCTGTGCCCGCAGGGCTGCGGGCCGGAGGATGTCCAAGGCTGTCCGGGATTTCCTGTACGCCCAGAAGGTGCAGGCGCCGGTGGAGGTTTACTCGGAGTGGCTGAGCGTGGGCCACGTGGATGAATTCCTCACCTTCGTCCCGGCCTTCGACAGGAAGGTACCGAGCCCGGAGCCTCCCTGCTCCTGTGGGAGCCAGAGCCAGCCCTGATGCAGCTGCTGGGCCTCCGCGGGGACATGGGGGGGCAGCTGCCTTTGGGGGGTCTTCCTGCAGGAGGAGAAGTCCGTGGGTGGCATCCCGTGATGCCTGGGGCTGGATCTGGGAGTCTCTCCAGAGGATGGGGGGATAGAACAGCGTGACCCCCAGGCTCTCTCCCACAGGGATTCCGGCTCCTCCTGGCCAGTCCCAACGCCTGCTACAAGCTCTTCAAGGAGAAGCAGAGGCAGGGCCACGGGGAAGCCACCCAGTTCATTGGTAAGGGGGTGAGGACATCCCTGGTGTCCCTTCCCATCGTCCCTTCCCTGTGTCCCTTGCCATGTCCCTCACTGCTCCCACCCCCACTCAGGGCTGAAGGGCAGCGAGAGGAGGAGCATTGACGAGATCCTGGCGGACGAGTCGCTCAAGAGCGACAACAGGCACGTGCAGGTGGGTCTGTGAGCCCTGGGCTTGGGGGGATCCGCTCTCCTCGCTCCCATGGCACAGCTGGGTCATTCCTGGGGGCAGAGATCCTGGGCAATGGCAGGAGTGGGCAAGGAGAGCAGCCAGGAAGGAGCCAGGCAGTGCTGGTCACCCCAAGGCCTTTGTCCCTCTGGCAGATGCCCCGGGTGACACAGAAGGACAACTGAAGCACCAAGAGGTTGCTCGGGTTGGGGATGCAGTGGGAGTTGCTCAGAGGGATGGGGTGGGATGCGATGGAGCGGGTGAGGATCCGGGCAGGATGCAGGATCCCCACATGTGGGATTTGAGGAGCTGGGACGGCCCAGGGTGGCAATTCCGGGTCCCTTTTCCCCTCAGCGCTGCATCGACTGGAACCGTGACCTGCTGAAGCAGGAGCTGGGCCTGAGCGAGCAGGACATCATCGACATCCCCCAGCTCTTCATCCTCATGGGCTCCCGCGCCGACGCCCTCTTCCCGGACATGGTGAGGCCTCCGACCCCTCCTTCCCCACCCAGCCCTGACACAGCCCCACCTAGGGTGGCCAACCCGCTGTCTGTCCCCGCAGGTGAACATGCTGGTGCTGGGCAGGCACCTGGGCATCCCCAAGCCCTTCGGGCCCGTGGTGGGTGGGCAGTGCTGCCTGGAGCAGCGCGTGCGGGAGCTGCTCGAGCCCCTGGGCCTCACCTGCACCTTCATCGACGACTATTTCTCCTACCACGTCCTGTCCGGGGACGTTCACTGCGGCACCAACGTCCGCAGGAAGCCCTTCCCCTTCAAGTGGTGGCACGTGGTGCCTTGAGGCCCCCGGGGACACACCCAGGTCCTGCCACCGGGGGTTGAAGCTGCATTTGGTGCATGGGAAGATGCATCAAAATGAAGGGTTTTGCCAATAAAGCTTCTTGAGCACCGAGGGCACAGCTCTGCCATCTCCTGTCCTTCATGAGCAGCTCTGCCCCATCTCCCATCCTTCCTGGACACCAATGGTGCAGCTCTGCCCCATCTCCCATCCTTCCTGAACACCAATGGTGCAGCTCTTGCCCATCTCCCATCCTTCCTGAACACCAAGGGTGCAGCTCTTCCCCGTCTCCCATCCTTCCTGAACACCAAGGGTGCAGCTCTTCCCCGTCTCCCATCCTTCCTTCCTCTGCTCTTGGCTTGGCAATGTCCTTTGAACTTTGTTTTTAAGCATGTGGGTCTGTGTCAGGAGTGGGGTGGGGGTTTATGGGAGACAACCCGGGACAAGGAAGCTGCTCTGGTGTGTTCAGACCTTCCCCACTGCTAAAGGGTCTTACAGTCCCACGTCGCAGGTTTGGAGCTGATAATCCCCTCCCAAATTCCCTGTGTTGGCCAAAAACCACCTCCTGCTGGGCACCCCGGCTCCCGGCGTGGAGGCAGAGCCCCCCCCTCCTCATCCAGATCATTTGACACCTTTTCAAGGAGAAAATTTCCGTCTCCTTCAGCCCGGCCGCTCTTTGTCTCCCTCCTTTCATCGCCAGCGGAGCGCGGCGTTTCCCTGTGCCTGGCACGAGGAACTGAAACCAGCCCGTGCCCCGGGCACGGCTCAGCCCTGAGCAACCTCGGGAGGTTCTGGGGCTAAACCCACTTGTTTTGGCCAATTTGCTTTCCTAGGAATGTTTTAGAGGTGTAACAGCACCTCCACTTCAAACTCCTGCCATGCAGCGAACGGTGCGGGAGGATCTGGGGAGGGGACGCTCCCAAAAGGGTCACACATCCCATGGAACATCCCTCTTTTTGTCCAAAAAGCCGCTTTCTGAGCCTATTTTCCCTGTGAAACGCTGCTGAGTTTGCCGAGCCCTGAGGAGGGATATTAAATTCTAGCGGCGCGTGACCCCGTGGGGAGGTGGCGGTGGAACAGCTGCGGGACAGCGGGCTCTCCCACGCCGAGACCAGGATTTAATTAAAACAAAGGCGATTAAACCCGCCGGGGGTCAGGCGTCCCTCAGGTGACATCCCCACCCCTCGCGGCACCCGGAGGACGGGACGAGCACCTTCAACCCTCGTCTAAAATAAGAACGAAAGGCAATTGTTCCAGTTAAACAAATGAAACCCTTCAGAGGGAGGAATCAGCCCCCCCCGAGCGCTGCGCTGGCACAGCCCCAGCTCGGCTCCGGTGTCGCCCTGAATATTTCACGGCGTGGGTTTAAGGGTGACCGCTCGCATCAGCGTTTCTTTGTGCTAACGGGAAAGCGAACCCCACCCCTGGGCTTCTTAGAAGCCGCCGCTCCCCCGGGGGCGTCTCGGGGTTCGCTTCCCCCCGCACCGATTCCCGCTCCCCGGCCGGGAAGCGCGGCCGGACCCCGCGCACGCCCAGCCCGGAGGTGGGATTAAGCCGGGCTTTGGCTGATCCCCTCCCAGCGGCCAGGCTTTATAAATCCCCTCGTGCCAGCCTGCGCAGCACCCGAGGGTGCTCCTGGGACCGCCGCGATGGCCCAGCAGCGCCGTGTCCAGCTGTCCGTCCAGCACCCCACCAGCACCGTGTGCGTGCTGGGCACGGAGCTCTCCCTGGATATCCGATGGTAAGCGCAGGGAACGTCCCGCCTGCTTTCGTAACCTCTTTTATCGCGCTGATCAACGAGTAAAAATAGCCCAGAGCGGGGAGGGGGCGATGCTGCTGCTTTCGGGGGGTGTTGCCAGGGGATACCGGGGAAGGGGATGCTCCGACTGTCGCCGCCGCAGCGGGACAGAGACCCCTCCCGGGGGAATCTTGGGCTGCAAAAAGCCCCTGTGGGAGCTTTAACGCCGAGTTTCACATCCTGGCCGGGATCCACCTGAAAACTGATAAATATTTCCGTGTTTTGGAGGGATGTGGAGAGCGAAACCATCGCGGCGGGGCCGGCCGGGCGTCACCTCCCGCCGCCGTTTCCTTGGCTCCAGCCCAAACAATTCGGGAGCTTTTCCAGGAGCAGGTTTTGCTTTTAGTTCCCTTTAAAACCTGGCTCAGGCCGCAGCAGCTTGGGGGGGGGTTATTTTCCTGAACGCCTCCAAACTCGCTGCCGAGAGCATCCCGGCCTCTCCCGCTGGCCCCGGGGTGGGTTTTCCCCTCTTCCCGAGGGATGGATCCATGTTTCCCTTCTCCCGGGTCAGGATTCGCGCTCCTGGGCCCATCGCCCGCGGCCTCTTGCGGAGTGAAACGAGCTCCAACCTGCCCAGCCATCGAAGTTTTGCTTCGTTCTTAAGGGATGTGGCCGGTCAGGGCTCGTTGCCGGCGGAAATGTGAATATTTGGGATGCCCGTGGCAAAAATCCACCCCAAACAGCTCCAGGGTTGTGCTGGGATGGGATGTCTCAGGATTTTTCACAGCTGGGCTTCACAGCCCAACGCTTTGGGTAAAGGAATGACATGAAGGGAAAGCGAAAATCAAAAACTGAAACGAAAATTTTTCCGATGAAATGTTGTAAATAAACCCCAAGAAATTAAATTTAAAAAAGGTAAATGTTAAAATTTCAAAATACAAAACTGAAGAAATTTGAAAGTTAGTAAAAAGGAAAAAATAAGATTAAAATGAAAAAATTGTCAAAATCGCATTTTTTGTGGCATTTTGCAAAATTTCTTGTCACAAATATTGCAAGATTTGGGGTATTTTGGGGGGATTATTGCCATGAATTTTATGGGATTTGTTGCCATTTCCCATTAGGGGACTGGTTGCATTTTCAGCACTTCTTGCAATGGGATATCCCTGGATTTTGTGCCTATTGAGGGTTTGCTGCCACCAAGATCCCGAGGTTTGTTCCCGTTGCCTTTTCCAGGGCTCGTTGCCTCTGGCAGGACTTTCCCTAATCGCCTTTGGTGGGATTTGGTGCAATTGCCTTTTGCAGGATTGGCTGTAATCCCGTTTTGTGGGATTTGGTGCCCATTGAGGGATTTGGTGTGACTGCAGGGTCTGGGATTCGTTGCATTCTGTGTGACTTGTTGCAGGATTTGTTCCGTATTGGAGGATTTATCCCAATTTCATATCTCAGGCCTTGATAAATCTACATTTTTGGGGAGTAGTTCTTTTTTTCAGGACTTTTTGCCATTCTAAATATTGGGATTAGTTCCATATTGAAGGATTTATCACAGTTTCATATCCCAGGACTTGTTACAGTTACATTTTCTAGGATCAGCTGCATTTTCCAGGACTTTGTGCCACTCTAATTTGCAGAATTTGCTGCACTTTGAGGGATTTATCACAATTATACACTGCAGGACTCTTTGCAGTTGTGTTTTGTGAATACTCAAGGGAGAGTTTAGGAATGTAGTCAGGTCATGTGGGAAGAAAATTAGGGAGACAAAGGCACAATTTGAACTCAATCTTGCCACTTCTGTCAGGGATAACAAGAAGTGCTTCCACAAATCCATCAATAGAAAAAGGAAGGGCAAGGAAAACCTCCATGCTTGGTTGGGCAGGGAGGGAACAGAGTCAGCAAAGATGAGGAAAAGGCTGAGGTGTTTAACACCTTCCTCACACCCATCCACAAAAAGGGCTGGAAGGAGGACCTGGGATACTCCAGGGCTGTCAGCCTGAGCTCAGTGCCTGGCAAGGTCATGGAGCAGATCATCCCAAGTGCAGTCCCAGAGCACCCCCAGGATGGACAAGGGATCAGATCATCCCAAGTGCAGTCCCAGAGCACCCCCAGGATGGACAAGGGATCAGATCATCCCAAGTGCAGTCCCAGAGCACCCTCAGGATGGACAAGGGATCAGATCATCCCAAGTGCAGTC